ATCAACAATGATTTCGTTCTTGCTGCTAAATCATTTAGGTTTCGACATTTGCTGTAGTGAAATCCTTGTATGCGGGAAAATAAATATATGCAGGTACTTCTTTCAACAGCAACTGGCTGGAAGGACGACGTTTTAGCCGAATGTAGATCCCGATTCTGGAAGCAGCGCCTCGCCAAAGTTATAAGCGATGTACACCGCGATATTGGGAGAACCAGCCTCAGTACTCGTCGTGATAATATCGTCCGGATGACCACTACCCATCAACATAGCGGAAGCGGAATTACCCGAGCAAGCCGGTATACCTGGATCAACCAAAGGGGCTGGTACCGCCGCCTCAATAGCTACCTGCCTCTTGCGTCTGAATCCGGAACTGGCATACACATGCGTGTCATGCGGACGGGACCAACTTTACATCATCACCTATCAACGTCCTTACGCCTCGGCTCTCCGAATCGAATGATGTAAACAACGGGCAGCACCGTCGAGGGGTGACTCCAGCAACTGGTGTTTGATTTGTGTTGAAAAATTTTGGAGATTCTGTATGCTGGATTTGAGAAGAAACAAACATCATTCCCGAGCACTTTGCTGTGGCGGTACAACCGTAGTTATTTTTAGCCGGAACCAGAAAGCTTTAACAGTTGACGCCCACCTTTACACAGCATGACATTCGATTAATCTAATAACACTATACATATTTCGTACTCAAATCTGAAGTTCACATTTTTTTTGCTGAGTTCTGTATAGGGAAACATTCCAAAGTGCATTTAATATAAAAATTTTAAAACAAATTTTATATATAAAAGGACAGCTTTTATCCTCTGTGTCTTTAATTTAAAAAAAATGTATACATATATATATAAAGACTTTCAAAACGAATCGCAAAATATTTGAATGTGTGCTCACCATTACTCTTCCACTATTATTTGTATGGAAATTGCAGAAAAGTCCTCAGCCAATACCTCGGCGAAATCATCGGCCCCAGCAAAGCAAGTAACTGCTTCCCGCAATCTCTGGGTTTCCGGGCTGTCTTCTTTAACACGAGCCAGCGATCTGAAAACCATATTTTCAAGGTATGGAAAGGTGATCGGCGCTAAGGTCGTCACTAACACGCGGACACCAGGCACCCGTTGTTATGGCTACGTAACAATGTCATCATCGGCAGATGCCAGTCGCTGCATCGAGCATTTGCATCACACCGAACTCCATGGACGGATCATTTCTGTGGAACGTACCAAGAACGAAATCGGTAGCAGCTCAACAGCTGGTTCTAAATCCCGTTTAGATGGCATAAAGAAGGAGGAAGATAAGAAGTCTCACGACACAACTTCGAAGACCCGCGATGATAGACGCAAGATTAGTGAAACCAGTAAGAAGGACGATTCATCGAAGAAATCTGATGCCGAAAAGGAGAAGCTGCGCGATAAAGACAAAGAGAAAGAAAAAGAGAAAGAGCATAACCAAAAAGACGATAAGGACAAGGAGAAAGAGAAAGATAAGGTCAAAGACAAAGAGAAGAGCGTGACTAGCAATCGCGAGAAGCGTGCTATTTCGAGGGAAGGGCCCAAAGATCGCAATCCTCGGCAGCTTGCCAACCGCAGCCGCTCTAATGACCGCCATCGTAACGATCGCAATATCAGGGACCAAAGGCAGAGGGAACGCGAACGTGAACAACGCATCAGGCAGCGAGAGTATATACAGTTGCGAGAAGAACGAGAACGACAGCGTTTGCGAGAGCGTGAACGCGAACTGCGTGAAGAAGAGCGTCGTCGGCGGGAAATTCGCGAGCGTCAGCGCCAAGAAGAAACTCGCCTGGCTGAAGAACGTCGCAAGCTAGCACAGGAACGCGAACGATTAGAAAAAGAGAAAGCAGAGTTGCTGCGTTTAGAACGCGAGCGCCAAAAACTCGAGCGGGAGAAAATAGAATTGGAACGACTCGAGCTAAAACGTCAACAAATGAAGTATGAACGCGTTTACACATACATTAATAATTTTTTTAGAACTTACAATACTATATCCATATATACACACCCTCATATACATACATGCACACTTACCCGATGCACAAACACAAACAGAGACCGTTATTTACTACTTCAGTCAACTGTGCCAGTGAGGCGAGGCAGCTTCGCATCAAAAATGTCTCGGGATGTGTGTCGATTGCAGAGTGTTGGATGTATACAAAGTGTGATTATTGTTAAGAAGTTATACATACATACATATGTGATTGATTATATCGCGAGAACGTGTTATTCATCTCAGTATTACTTATGTACATAGATATTGAGTAAGCCAGGTGATGCAACAACATATCTCTCAAAAACGGTCGAATCGTATAGACGTGTCTTTTAAATTAATATGATTTTATTTTTAATCACTAATACTTTCAATTGTCTTTTTCCCAATTTTCATTTGAATCGCGTACTTCAAAGGATTATGCACGCACGAGAGGACCCCATTAAACGTCTGGCAAAGAGATCCAGTACCGAGCGCTACACCGATGTGTCCGATCGGAAGCGGTCCTCTGGAAGTGATTCTCGTTTTGAGGCGCCTCCTCCACCAAGGTTTGATGCCAGTCTCGTAACATCGTCGAGAAGGTAAAAATTGTACAAACATTGTAACATGTCTCAGCTTAAATATGCTAATAAAGTCCATACTCTTCATTCAAAATTGGTATGCATTCAAGCTATTCGCCCTACAAGGCGATTGTTAGAATTACAAATACTGCAATACGAGAAATATTAAGAAATTCAAATTTGCAAACACCCACTTTTCATTTGAGAGTTTTATTAGCGATTAAGGGAGCAGCTTTAAATATTAAAGATACATACCAGAAATTGTTAATTTTTCAGTCATAGTTATGACCACTATTTATGTGGAAGAAAAAATTAATTAGTAAAAACCATCGGATACCTCTATTTTAACTGGAGGACGACCTAAATTAAATGAAATTCCGTCTTAACCGAATGAAGGTTGTGCGAGAATATTTCAACTGCCATAGTCACAACAAAGCGAATTTCAGTAATGAGTGTTTTAGAGTTGTTTTAACTATTTTTGGCCTTTAATAGAGTTTTTTTTTGGTCAGTTTTAGATTTTAATTACTCCTAGGTAACTTCAAATCGGTATGAAATCAACGACGGGAGTACTTATCATCGAAAAAAAACTTGGCATTTACTGAAGCCAAATGAGTAGAGGTGTAGGCCCTGTGAAAAACACGAGCTACAAATTTTTGTTGCCTATTCCACTTTATTAATAATGTAATAATAACCATGCGGATGCCATTTTTTCATCCCTTCCATTTCTTTCAAGCTATTAAGCATCATTTTCTGAGGATTTAACAGTAGATCATTAGGTAAAAGCCCTTCCAAAGGGCCTTCGTGAGAGTTTAGAGGCTTTCCACTCTCTTTTACTTTTTGTATGGAGTGGCACAAATTGAAGGCCTTATTTATTTAGCTACCCATAGAAGGACTTTGAGGAAGACTTTTGTAGGACGTATTTTAGAAGGTCTTTTTGGAGGAGTTCTTTTATACACTGCTGCATATTGAAATTCATTTGTAATGTTAAATAATATAAACTTACACATTCACGTATATTGTAAATAGAAAAAGCCCTTGAAGCCATTCAGGCAAGCACTTTTTTCTGCCCTTCTTGGGTAGGCCTTTTAGAATGACTTCCCTTTAGAAGTCCATACCAATTTTTATTAAAGAGTGCTTTATATACAGTAGGGCTGGGGCTTTCCGTATATTCGGATATTCGTGTACAGATACGAATAAAATACGGATATCCAGTTAATATACGTTCTAATTTGTTGTCCGGATATCCTCTTAATATTTTAAAGATATTCGGTTAGAACTTCCAAACTCCCAGCCCTAATATACAGTAACAAAATCTGTTATTTTCCTTTTTTTAATATTATTTTTAATTAAATACTTATTCTCCGTACTGTGAACCCCTAGTTATGATAAGAAGCGTGATGATTATACTAGTTCTTCATCCGGGAAGCGCGCCATTGATGACTATTCATCTTCGTCTAAACGCATGGATTACTCGAGCGGTACCAAACGTTCAGCTATAGACGATTATTCTGTAGTTCCGGCAAAGCGAAGCTCAGACGATTATGGCAAGCGTAGCAGTGAATATCTTTCGTCGTCTTCATCAAAACGTATCTTAGACGATTATGGTACAAGCAAGTCCTCACGTGACGACTACAAACGCGAAGTTGAAATTCGACATGTTCCCGCAGTAAGTAATAGCGGCAGCTCATCATTCCACACAAGCCGAGATGTCAGCTCTACAATTCATAAGGCTACCGCAAGTCGCTATCTAGACACAGATCGTTCTTCTGGAAGCTATCGCCGTGGCGGTATCGATGACATAAGGTAAGCGCTTTCGAATGGTAGATGTGCGGGGCTTATTTTAATGTGTTTTGTTTAATTTTGTAGGTCCTCATCTGGTAATAAACGCTATGACAACTCAAATGGTTACGGCAACTCTAGCAGTGGCAACAATGTCTGGGCATCATCTACACACTTGAGTGGCAGCTCTGGCGGAAGTGGTGTCAAGTCATACGTCGGCAATGGCATGTCCAGCCTTCACAGTAACTCAACATGGCAGAAATCGGTGGAAGAAAACAGCTGGCGTCCCATGCCATCCACACAAGATCGCTTTGATCGAACTTACAATGAACGCTCCAATAGTGGATACACAGCTGGAGGAATGTTTGGCAGTGGAGGACGCTATGGCGGCCAAATGTCTCGTTACTAAATCTAATTCCGCATTGGCATATTTTAAATGTCGTTTACAATTTTAAAGCTCTTTTATTATTATTATTATTATTATGCATTGCATTATGTGTTTTCAGTCGTACTACAAACATCTTATTTGTGAATTTTCATAAGCTTGGTTAAGACATTTGATTAATTTTGTATTGCGAATGGTGAATCAATCAAAATAATTGTGTGTAGTGTGTAAGGAAGATGTCAGATCGCAAGTCAATGATTTTCTTGCCGGAATCCACATATGAAAGAAAGCAAATATTTGCATTGTAATCAGTCATTAGAAATGGGGAAATAGAACACAATGATTCACCGCAATCATGGTCGTGATTCTAATTGCTTCTTTCCTTTTTTGGTTTACTTGCAATTCCAAAATATTATACTACGACAATGTCTTTTGTAGTCAAATAAGTAACATTTGAATTATAATAAAACAAGTTACATTCATGCAAAATGTAATAAGATGCTTTTATTATTAAACTTAAGGCCCTGTTCCAGGCACGTAATAAAAGCGGCAATACTGCAGCGCTGATGATTTCCAAGTCTGTTGCAACTTCCCGATTGATAAAACGTTGCTAGAACATGACACCGAACATTATACTTTAATAATTCGCGCAACACTGCGGTTGTGATTGCAATTCGAACAAGCGCTAATTCACTGAGGCTCCTCCAGGGACGATACCAAAGGTGTTGTAGTGTCTACCATTACTAAAACACTGTGCGGCAATATGTAAATGTTATTTACCTGTATGAAGTAGCCCTTTTGGCGTTGCTTCTCTGAGGTGTGCAAACTAGATATCAATTTACAATTTTGGGTAGCATTAAGCCGTATTTTTATACACCTACTTACGCTAAAATATCGACCGGTTCCAAAAGCAGCTCTGATTTATAAACCGAGGCAAGAAAATTTGTAAACGCCACAGTATTATTACCGATTTCTGAATCAAAATCTTCACCTCCAAGTTGTAACTGTCAATGTACGCTTGCCTTAGTGAAATTAGACGGTCATAAACGTGTTAACAGACCTTATCGAAATTTCCATCCTCAAACTCTGGTATTCCATTTCTAGTGCCCCAGAAGGTGATGACGTTGTCGTCAGATGTAACCAACGTTCCTTGATCATTGCATTTGCAATTCTAAAATAAAACCTTGCATCTAATCTCAATCTATTAACAAAAAAAATGCATAGTACTTACAACAATATTGCGATGCTTAACGAATTCCACCGGCGTAGGCCGATCCATTTCCCCAGTGTGTCCAATGCCGAGTTGTCCTTCGGAATTGCGCCCCATTGTATATATCCAACCACCCTCCAGCAGTAATACAGTATGCATCGAAGAAAAGCTCGCCTCAATGATTTTATGTGGCATTTGAAGTTTTTTCTATTAAATGGGTGAAGCTAATTTACTAGTAAATAGAAAAAAATTGCATATATGTAAATTAGAGTGGCCTTCCAAAATTTTTCCTCTTGCCGAAAGAGGTTCTGGTACCAAACTACGTTTTTATCTATCCATTTAGAGGATGCTCATGATTCTCATATTTTACTCTAGAAGTATTGTGCACATATATTAATCAAAAAATTTGTTAAGTAACCTAAGAACATTTAAAATTTAAATTATCTATTAAAATGTCACAAGCTTCAGTTGTCAGTGCAACAGTAGCCTTTTATAAAAATCACCAATATTTTTGCCAGCTTCACAGCGATCCAATAACAGATATTACAAATATCAAAAGGAAAAAAACTAAGGGGGGGTGCCCGTTTTCTAGGGTGCAATGTTTTCCCTCATACAAAAATGGGACCACTCTAATGTACATACGCACATACATATCGCACACCGTCTTCAAAAGAGTCGCAACTCAAAATAATACGTTCATAAGAAAATGCGAAAAACTATTTCGTAGCACATGCTAATCATATGGGCAGGGCGACTTTACCTTAGGTTTTTTAACAAATTATAACCAGCTTTTACTGAAAGGTAAATAAAAGCTCTGTGTACATTTTTAGCGCATAATATCAAAATGCAATATTTGAGAAGCTCTAGCAAATAAAGAAAAGGTGATAGAACCTTTCACTCAGGCCTAAATAAAAATTAGAAGATAAATCAGTTTTCGCTGTTCAATAAACGACTATAAATTACCATCAGGTAAACTTGCAGGGGTGGTTTTTTCAGAAATAGTAGTCGAGAGTTCTAGCTTTAATTTGAGCCTGAGTGGAAGTTGTTTCTTTGCAAAAAACGCGATTTTTCGATACCTTGCATTACATTTTTTATAGATAAGTTCCTCTGGTTCTCATGGTCTCACATGTACATATAAATATGTATGTATGTGTAAAAGGCGAAGATTCTGTATTTGAGAACAGACGGAAAAGTTACAAATATTATATTGCAATGGGTTTTCAGTTTGGTTGTTGTTGTTGTTGTAGCAGCATACAAATTCCCCAAAGACTTTTTTGGGGAGTGTTGCTGGAGTGACAGTCCTTGGCCAGATATAAATCTGGGTCGTTCCGGTTACTTAGACCCGACTGTCGTGGGAACGTTTTCAGTTTGGTCAACAAATACGGCTTAATTGAGCTGTAAATCGCACATTTCTTTAAATCATCCGGGAACCCAGTTAACCGTGCGGGTTTAATTGAAAAATCGATTTTTGAGCGAGTAATTCATTTGTAAAAAATAACGTTTGGCGCATACACTTTTGGCAAGTGTTTGCCCGAGCTTATCCTGATGTTATATCACAAATGGGGGGCTTACAATTTTACGCCTTCTCCAAACTGCAAATGGTTTATGAGAAGCCTTTTCCAGGCAGAAATACACTCAGATGTTTGCCATTGTCTGCCAACGGCCGACTGCTGTTAGAAAAAACGTATTTCTAATATTAGACGTTGTCTGACCAGGGATCGGGCCCAGGGCCTACGGAGCCGAATAGAATTTGGCTTCGGTTAAATAAATGTGCGAATGCTATATGTTCATAACGCTGGTTTGCAGGAAAAACGACATAACTAAAAAATGCGATAAAAACGTATTTGAAGTTTTTAATAATGGTTTCTCATTGAACCGGTATAAATAACTAAAAACAATACAACGTTTGAGAGATTTCGCCGACTTTTCTAGCTGATGAGCGTAACAACCTTCGCCTGGCCGATCCCGGAAATCCTCGCATTAGGGATCTTAATACGGAGATTCGGCAACTTGTGAGCATACACATGTGGAAGAAGTGGAAAGAGCATCTAAAGACTTGCAACTTCACCTCTGGCATGAGTGAGCTTTGGTCAACCGTGAGGTCGACATCTTATATAGATTCGCCTTGACTTAAAGCGCAGTTACCCACGGACGTAAAAGCGGAGAACGTGGCAGCTGACACGATCTATCTTATGGGATCTGCGAGTTATCAAAACTCACCACCACTACGTCACACGTTGCTTCCTAAAAGAAGCGAACAAATTCGAAGGCATTATAACGCTATGCCTTCTAGAACACGTTATCACTAAAAGCGATTACCGATTTTTTGCTGGGTATGTATGTACATACATATACACACGAGGGCCACTAAAAAGTTTTTAGAGCCCGCGACACTAATGCCATTTGAGTCAATCTGACCCTTGCATCGTAAAATTTGGCAGTTTCTAGCATCAATGTACTCGGAACTTGTTACATAGGAGCGCTTTTTGTGTTGTTTACAGTTACTTCAAAGTTTTAAATAGAAAAAAAAAAATAAAAAATCTTAAAAAAGAAAAGGTCAGGGTGACATTATAAATAGGTTAAGAGCGCGGTTACCCACGAACGTGTATGTAGCGTAGCGTAGAAGTACGTAGAAAGATATCAAGTGTGCTGTTGAGAGAAAGAGAGGGAAGCAACGTCTACGTTACGGTCATGTGGTGGTGAGTTTTTGATAACATGCAGATCCCAAAGATCATTTTATGAAAACAAAATTAAAATATTAGTCACAACTTTTTCCATTTCATTTACGATGTTGTTACGTCTGTTTGCATTTCAGGTGCATCTACATCTGAATGTACATACATATTATGTATCTACTATATATGTATGCATGAATGTAAAATAATCTAGCAAAAAAGTTTCTCCTAAAATTTTTTATGGATTTTGTGACCAGTCCTTATCCGCAGGACTAATTTTTCCATAGATTGGTACCAAACTGAATCGTGCATACATTTTTTAAAAAGTAACTTATGTATACATATATAAGGATGAGATTCGGCATTTTGTACGTACGAATGCTGTTATTGTGATATTCTTCTTAAATCCCAACTTCCTGTATTTGTTGCATCCACAGAGGTACAAGTCGCCGTTTTTGAAAAGAACTGCCGAAACATTGGGGCCGCAAAAAATTTTCTCCGCCTTGCCATTCACATGGGGCAGCAGTACTTTTTGTGGAGTTCTCCTTCAAAGAAAAGTTGGTAGTTAGAAAATTCATTTCAGTTGCTGAATGTACTTATGAACTATGTATGTATGTATGTATGTATGTAATTGTCTACGTACTGCTGCGTCTGTAATTTGCCCAGACCAAGAGCGCCGTACGCGCTGGTACCCCAAACATAGATTGAACCATCGGCGCTTAAAGCAAGCGCATGTGCTGTGCCGGATGCTATTTTTTCGATTTGTATATCCTGTAATTTGCTGACATTTTTCGGGGTGTGGAACGTTTTGTTATCTTCATGTCCGAGCGCATACTTTGAATTATCGCCACAACTGAGAATGGTGCCGGATTGAGCTAGTAAAATGGTAAACCCATCTCCAACGCAAGCACTGTATTGGATAGTGTTTAAGTCAGAAGAAATTTGCATGAACATGCATGAGTTGTAAAATAATTCAAGCGATTTTCCATCCATCATTTCACAATCAATGAAATGTCGCTCATTTGCTAAAAAACTGTCAGGACCCGAATCAGGGCATCGGCGATCGAATCAAAGTCGATTCGGAATTTCTTTTTCAGATTACGACATTCGCTAACGAGCTCGCTTTTTCAATTAAAAATGTATTGGAAAGAAAACGACTGTCATTTTATTTCATTCGTTTCGAATCGAGCCCAGATCTCGAAAAAGCGGTCCATTTATCGAACTAGAGGAAATTGATGGTAGCGCTTTCAGCAGAAGCATTTTCATACTAAACAGCATGGTTTTGAAAGCTAAAGTAATTCCCTTTCACGAAAAAAATATTGTCATTGGGCCGAAATTACCCCTTGATTTTAACAAAATTGGTCAAAAATAGTGTTCTTCAAAAAAAAAAAAACATGCATGAGAGTTAATAAGAATATTGACTTGCTATATCGGAACACAGATATGTACATATCTTGAATATGAAAGATATGCAGGAAACTAGTTTTTTCGCCCATAAAGTATTTACATACATACCTTATAATGTGGTGGTTTCGGACACTCTCCATTCGGCTAGGGTAATGCTTCCATGCTTCAAGCGATGTAGATCCAAGTTGACCATGGGTGCCCTCTCCCCAAGCATAGACGGAACCATCTTTAGCAGTACAAAATCGCTTTTAACAGATACATACATATGCATACATATTCGCCCCTATTCCGATTGTCGGAATGACTGTCGTTCGTCGAAATTTGAAATTTGCATTGGGGTTATGAGGCAACCAATGACATAACCTACTACACATTTTTATACCCGAGCGCACTTGTGCACAAGGTTGTTATAATTTTCTTCGCATAACGGTTGTTTGTAACAGGCAAAACGAATCGAGATAGATATTGACAAAAGTATACACATCTAAATGATCAGAATGAAAAGCGAAATCGATTAAGCGGTGACTGCCTGTCCGTCCGGCTGTCTGTGCACACGATAACTCGAGTAAATATTGAGATATCTTAACGAAACTTGGTATGTGCACTTCTTTCGGGCGTAGGACGCATGGTATTGAAAATGGGCAAAATCGGACAATAACCACGCCTACCTCCCATATAACGGTAATTTTCAGAAATACGAAAACTGCGATATTTTAGTAACCGCTGAAGATTATTCACTCAAAATTGATATTTACAATATTTTGTAGACGAAAAATAAGAATATAAATTTTTGGAAAATGGGCATGTGTATATCTTCTTGGTAACCGCTGCACCAATTTCCTCCAAACTTGACACAGTTATTGGCCTTGGTACAGCATACTAAATGGCCGAAATTTTAAAAAATCGGACAATAACCACGCCCACATCCCATATAACGGTAATTTAGAGAAATACGATATCTTTCGACTTTCGACAACCAGAATAGGGGTGATTTTCTCCCTATCGGGAGAATTTAAACACACGAATCTTACCATCGTTTACTACTACAAAATGTGAATCACTTGTGGCGACAGTGCGTATACGCGATTTTGGTGGCAACTGTATGGGATTCATGTTGAAACTGTTTCCGAACGCTTTCAATTGGTATAGAACGGATCTGACGGAGGTGAAATTTAAGTAAAATATTTTATTCATCTTTGCTAAAAATAATCAATTTAAATTTGTGATGATTCACTAACAGACCGCTTATAAAGGACTTCATTCGGGACAGCAGTTTCAGCATTCATCACCTCCCTCATTTCGGTACATCCAGTTGGCAGCTCGGACAATGCTTGAGTGGATCTATCTGTTTCCAAATTAAAACTGAGCTCCACATCCTCTTTTGTGGATCTTAATTCGGCGCTCATCTTCGGAACGGAGTTTGATGCAAATATATCCTCTTTATAGGAATATCTAAAAGTTTGAATGTACATACATATGTACATAAGTATGTATGTATGTATTTACATAATCATCAAGTACATAGTAAAGAGACAAAAAAATGTGTGCGCCTGGACCACACTACTGAAGTGAAACTTCCTCCGATTCATTTCCCATTCGTTTACTACAGCAGGAATGTATATTATTCGTCTGACTTCATATTCGTCTTCGTATACATAAATGTTTGTTTTCAAGTTAAACTTCAACTTCCTGTTCGTATCCCACTTCGTGGTCGTGTTCGTCTCCGTCTTCCTCTTCGTATTTTATTCGTCTTCATTTTGATCGCCGTATTCCTCTTCGCATTCGTCGTCGTCGTCATCGTCTCGTGTTCTTTTTCACATTCGTATTCGCTTTCGTTTTGGTCGCTATATTAGTATTCGACTTCGCATTTCTCTTTGCATTCGTATTCGACTTTGTCTTCGTCTCTATCTTTGAGATAACTTGGATCGCAAGTATCACACAATTTACGTAAAAATTTTTTAGCTCACTACCACCGCTAAAGAAGGTTCACTTCAAAAATGCTATTATCCACATACATATATATGGGCGATTCCAGCGAAAAGTATAACGCGAAAAAAATAAAAATAAAAGTCCTACATCTAACTTATTTATGAGCCTATTTGGCTGCTTTTTATAATATATACTGGCTATGTAAGCAGAAACATTTTTGCCAAAATTGGTCCCTTTAGGTGGCGCCAGGGTGGAGATATTTTGAAAAACCGTATTTATCAGAGCGAAATTTGGTGAATTTTGTAGAAGGTATTGCTCATTTTCTCCATGCAAAAAAATTTTTGAACATACTGTGTATTCAAGAAAATGCGTGAACAAAAAATTGCCAAAAATCAACGGTAAGTCCAAGCATATTCCAACTTGCATTTTATTAAACTAAAATTTAATGGGCTTCAAAACATAGCATACGCAAAACAATTCTAGAAAATCTGATTAAAATGTTTCAAATTGGGACGAACATTTATTCGAATTCGTCGAATTTTTATAAATGTTCTACAAATTTTGAAGTTTTGATTTACGTTTTTTTTAGATAATGATTTATATTTTCATAAAAAAATATCACACAATTTTAGATTTTTTCTCTTTGTTTTGTTTTAAATAAAACTGTATTAAGCCTTATAAAATTATTCTAAAAACAAAATTGTATGTTTGGATTCGATGCTTTAGAAATGTCCGGATTTTTGGCCACAGAAATCTAGTTACCGTAAGTATTGCCCAATTAGCAGGGTGTTGCAATTTTTTTAACCCAAGTCAAAATCTACTACTTTTGTTTGTAACGCCACGCCAGCGCATATGTTGACTAGATAATATCTATATAATAATATATAAGAAAAATAAAACTTGCGCCAGCTGCGATTCGAACCGGGGTTCTCAGATTTTTAAGCGGATACTCTCGCCGCATGCCAACGCCGCACATGAAAATTCGTTGACTAAGTGCCTACATATCAGCAAATCGTTAATCATACCCATTGTCCGCTACTGCATGACATTGTAACCAATTTTAGAACAAATCTCGTACCTTATGCATTACATTCGGACCACTTTTAGTACAATTCACACCTGTTTTACATTACATTGCCTTAAATTTTTGGACCTTCTTTGGTCTAGTTACAAAACTACTATACCTACGACTATATTTTTCGAGCAATTGGACCACTCTTTCCTTCAGGGGAGTGTCACGTAACGCCATATTGGAAATACTCATATGTATGTATGTATGGGCATATCTAATATATCTACATAGCTAGGTATTAGTACCCTTTATTTTTCCCCAAATTTCTAAATATCAATGGAATCCAATACTCCAATATTTCCGAGGCCATTGGCCGTCGAGAAGCATCTACCTGCGAAATTAAAATTAAATTGCACTTACGAGAGCTGCTTACAAATGAGGATACATCGAGCCCTTACCGCCAAAAAGATTTTTTTTTTCAAAATTTGATTTTTAATGCCGAAATGCATCAGATGCTGTAGGAGCATTTCTGCATAAAAAAAGAAAATTTTGAAAAACAGGTCGCATATCTACATCTTTTTGGCGGCTAGGGCTCGATATGTATGTATTTATGTGTGCATTCTTCTTGTTCAAACTTGCCTGCAAAAGATTGCTCAGAAGACTCCGTAGCCCTGAAGAATATCCTGTAGGTATGGCAGTATAATTGCCCTAAATTTTATGATAACGACAATGACAAATATAAAAGATATACATGTACATAAATATTTAGGAATATGCAAGAAACAGGCGAGGCCTTATAAGCATACCGCCATTATTTTGGATACTAATTGCGAGAGGTTTGAAGCCGCAAAACTCTTCTTGAGGCAACACATCTCGCCAAGAATGCAGCCTAAGGCCCAAATATCGCTTTTGTTGTCGTACTCCTTGCCTTCGCACTGAAATTAAAAAAATAAATAAAAATTATAAACTATATATATCATTAGCCTAATTAATATGGGACCACCCTTGAGGTAGCTTTCCGATAAAAAATTATTATAAAGAATTATGGAAAACGGTTTACGTAGTCCAAAGTTATCCGGTATCGTACATAAAAAAATATTCCGGCGGATTGATCACCTTTCTCCTTTTTTGAAGCCGGTTATTACAAAATACTTAGCTACGAATGTACATACGTATTTCAATTCTTGTGGCTATTGTTAAAGATGGTAGAGCTCGTTTAATTTTTGAGTAGCTATTTTTGAACTCTTACGTAATAAGAAAATTATATGCCAAAGACATATTAAACATTGGTAGCAGAGAGCAGCTGATTTGATTTTTTTTTTGATTATCTGGTATCTAAACTGCCAAATATTGTTAATTTTTTCTCGAAATTCATAATTGGCAAAATGTATTCGCATGTGAATCTTGCTTAACTTAGGGCTGCTTTTACAGTGACGAGTTAACTCTCATTCGGCAGTTAAGTACAGGCTTTTAGTACAAAATATTAAAGTTAACTGCCGAATTTGAGTTAGCCCCCCACTGTGAAAACGTCACATAGGAGCATAAACGCTGATTTTTGGGACCGGAAAAGGATGTATTGATGCTTCTGGAATTCAACAAATTTACAAAGAAAGAAACTGGAACCAATTCATTATTATTATTTTTTTTTAATTACATTTTTTATTTACGTTTTTGTTTATATTTCACATCGCCCACTATGACATTTAAAAAAAGCAGACTATTGGTTTGACACTGTAGATACCAGAAGCTGCAACAAAATACACAAATTTTGTTTTTGCTCTAATTCTCCTACCTGTTTGATATGCGTGCTAGATTGCTACGTACGTAGCTACTTTACATCTAAAATGCTACAAATCGTGACCTCCCCTATCGTGTCCAGGTAGTACTAGGGTTCGAAATTTCAGACTTTGGTATCGATACTGAGTACTCATTCTGTCATCGAGCTCATGGTATCGATACTCTAAAAGTATCAGGGAAAAAGTATCGACTACTCAGTATCGAACTCATTAAAATACGTTTTTTGGGATACTAAAATTATTTTATTCTTTAATCGTATATCTAGTTATTTCTTGAAATTAAAACAATACAATTTTAAAATATTTGATTTTTATTTCATTGCAGAACTTACTTTCACGTAAGAAGTAATTTTAACGTTAAATGTACATACATACATACATATATGTATATATGTATATACTTTCACGAATTTCAAATTTTATTAAGATTTTTTGTAAACTTTTTGGTATGCATTTTTGTAGCCTATTCAATTTTAGTATAATTATGGCAAGATTGAATTAAAAGTCAATGGTAGTAGGCTACACGTAAAGTAAAGTTGAATAGGTTACAAAACTGCATACCGAAAAGGTTTCCAAAAATTCTGCATTTTCGTGAACTTTGCGGAAAGTTTTATGGCCTTATTCATAAAAAAAGGTTTATAAACTGAAAAATGTAAGAAAATTTCATTTTATTGAGCTCTTTAAACCTACTTTATTTTTTATGAATAAGGCCATTAAACTTTAACTTATTTCGTTTATGTTATGCAACAGACTACACGAAATTTCAGTTTATTTTAAGTGATGGACAAAATTGAATGATAGTAATCCTTATAAGCAAAGAAAAAATTTAAAAAGTATGTTTTTAAAAAGTTTTCGATACTACGAGTACTTTGCAAAGTATCGAGTAAAATCACCAAATAAGGTATCGAGTATTAAAGTACTCATTTTTATACCCTCATTATCGATGCTTACTTAATATCGATAGTATCGTTCGAACCCTAGGTAGTACCACCATTTGAATAAAAAATTGGATACGTGCGCTCAATTATTCTGATAATAAGAATTTGTTCTTAAACTAAATAAATATTAACTCATACCATCTCTGGACTGAAGTAGTAGGGCGTTCCCAAAACAGTTTGTGCTAAAACCTTAGTATTCATTATTTTTGATATGCCAAAGTCGCCAATCTTTACAATGCCGCGTTTATTTAAAAACACGTTTGCAGTTTTTAGATCTCTATAAAGAATCAATAAGTATTTAATATATTTAGATTCATTTTAACATTTTACCGATGTAAGATATTCTCCGAATGCATGTAATTAATGGCACTAGAAATCTGTTCAAACACTGCGATGATATAACGTTCAGGAAAATAATCTTTGACCGGACGGTCGGCTATGACCTGGGCGAGTGTTCCACCATCAGCGTACTCCATTTCGATCAGCAATGTGTTGTCCCTAATGAAGCTGCCGAGGTAACTATTAAATGTAAAAAAATTAATGTACAATAGGAAGCCTCACGAAATAAGTTACCCAAACTATTTTATTTCAATTCGGTGAGATGTGTGCAGTGGAACGCGTCGAAAATACCTCCAATGAACGGGGGTTTCGCCATATTGTGACACACTACTTTTAAGACGGCAGAGTTTTGATTTTTTTTTTTTAATGCACTAAAGCTCGTTTTAATCAAAAATTACTAAGTACAAAAATAAAACGAATCGTTTTTTTCATATAAAAGTTGTTTTGTACATATTTTATGCATATTATTAAGGGCCGATATCATAACAAAATTAAAGAATGTTTAAAAAATTTAAAGGATGCATTATTTTGCTGATCGATTTTATAAAGCCACTTAAAAGATAAAGGTGCCCATAAAGGCTATTTAGTTAAATACCCAAAATGGAAATTTAAATGACATAAAGGTTCCTTTTGTAAGGGAAAGAAGTATGTAATTTTCGTAGTATAGTAAGATATTTATGACAATCAGCTGATGCAATTTTGCCGAGATCAGCATTGCAAACATTGTTATTTTCATTTAACCCTTCGTCAGGCGCAATATGGTGACTGCGGGCGCAATGTGCCTTACTGTCACACTTTTAAAAACACATAATTATATTGTTTATACATGTGAAAAAGAAATAGATGTCAACATTTTTGTAAAAATCCTTTTATTTGACACAAATTTAGCAGCTACTACAAAAATCTTAAAATAAAGTTAAAAAATCCAAAAGTCAAACATAAGATGTAAAATAGTTTAGAAAAATGCAAATATTCCATAAAAATTAAACACGGGTATAAGAAATAATAGCTACTTTTAGATGAGTACTAAAATTTAAAAAAGTAATGTAAAAGTATTTCTAAAAATACTTATTTTAATATATTTGACGAGTTTGGGCGCAATGAGCTTCTCAGATCGAACTCTGCATAACTTCTAGTTGTGAGTGTCAAACAAAAACTTACGAGTGGTTTTACTCTTCAGCTCTGCAGCTACTGAGCGTAAGCAAAGATAACGGTATAAAACGGCACGGCGAGATAAAAAGATGTGCTGGATGTGTCTCACAGATCAGTTGCGCCCGACGAAGGGTTAAATGAACATTTTGTTATTATTCAACTGTCATTTTTATTATGGAAGCACTTCTTGTTTAAAGTATATTCAAATGACACTTTAGCTAAAAGGAAACTTTTCATTATGAAATTGGCTCTAACAGTTTTTTGATGTACATTTTTTCTAGCGTACTTTTTAAGAGTCTCAAAATATGTACATATAATAAATAAGGCGATTTTCTCGAAAATATAATTCTCGAGTTAGGAGCTGTTTACATGTGACCACAGATGTATAAATTAACAAAATAACTGTCAAAATTGTGGGTTTTCTCCTTTAAATATAATAACACAATACTCGTACAATAAAACAATAAGGACAAGTTTTCTATTTAAATGTTTTCACTGTATTACCTGATAATGTTCGGATGATGAAGCTTGGAAAAGACCTCCACCTCATTCATAGCCAAATCTCGTTCGGATGGCGTGAGATCGGATAAGTTAATTTGCTTAAATACGACATGATGATTGTCAACTTTACGTCGATATAATATTGCCACTCCAAATGAACCTACGAATAGTGCACGTATTCCAAAATTGAATAAATGCACTTATGAACTCATATACATGTGTGTGTACGTCTGGTCAGTGTGGTCGTATATATGTACATAAGTACAAACATGATACTAAAGTGATAGTTTTAAGTAGAGTTTACCTTGTCCTACTACGCGAAGTTTCTCATAATTATGAAGCTCGGGACCAGCGACTTCTGACACTTTTGGTGTTCGACCCACTACTCCGTCGTCATTGTAAATATTTGCAGATTCTAGGCTTTTCTTTGCAGGCCTTGGAGGCTCGTCCTTCAACAATGACACCACCGATGATGATGAGTTAGATATGGTAAATATTTTTGGTTGCATAACTCCATTGAAGGTCGCCCGCTTTTTTGATTTCGACGCGACAAGAGCAACAGATGAAGAGCTACTCGATATGGATGAATCGGATATTCGACCATTAAAGAGCGGTAATGAGCTGGCTTTAGCTTTGAAATGTTTCATTTTTTCTTTAAGCAATAATAGTACATATCTGTCTCTGCACTGGTAAAGGTATACTATTTTCGTCCATCAAGATTACTGCTTACAATAGAGTTAGTGGTTAGTGGCCCGTAAAAATGTTGTGGTCACTTAAGTTGCTTAGCAATGGCGAATTGATGGCGAATTGGGAGCAACATGTGTCAAACAAGTGCCGACGATTTGGGTTTAAATATGTTTGTAAATAATATGCACATTGATGTCGCCGGAAAATAATGATAGGGAGAGGGCAGCTTAACAATACATACTTACCCCTTTTAAATATGAGTATGTATTTATGTAGGTATGTGCGTGCATTCATTCACTTCATCATGCCATATGGGTTACCCTCTCTAGACGCTGACCCGCCCCACCAGGTGGCGTGACACTTTGTTCATTTGAAATTTGGCATACAAATAATAATAGTAATAAATAATAACACTTATGTTTAGTTCAAAGTACTTAGAAGGTTATGTATTTTATTTCGTTACTTTTGTTGTTATTTATATGTATTCTTATCTTTTGTAAATTGTTTAAAAATAAATCTTAAATCTACTTTAAGTCGGCTAGTAAAATTTCACTTAACTAATGCATCAAATCGTTTTACATTATATTTCAATATCAAGTGGTTCTTAAATTATATCTCTTTTGGCTAAAATACTTAAGTCATAGCATATAATCGAACTTTGTATTTATGTACACATATGTTACCGGCAAAACCCGATCTTAGAACAAACTAGTTTTTTCCTGGGCGAAACAAGTTCTATCTAGATCCAAGAAAGGAGATCGCAGAAAGGAGTTCTACTCAAAAATACTGTGGCGCCTGATCTAGTTTAGCCTAGTCAAAACTAGTTTGTCCTTAGATCGGGTTTGGCCGGTAACATATATGTACATACAACTGCATCAAACCTCGTGCTAGATATACATACATACACATGTATGTATGTATGTATGTACATACATAAATATCTACACTTATGCACTTATGTATGCAAATTTTTTATGAAACTCGTATTTCGAGCGGAAAATAATTAATACGGGGTGGTGTTTTTACACTTCCGCATTCCATATGCTACATAAATACTATGATTAACAGAAGTTTTCTGTACCAACGATCGTTTTTTTTTTTATTGTACACTAGTTGGTAATTGACTACGAAGCTGCTAGATATTACATACGGTGGAAAACATCAAACATTGGGCTCCTTTGGAGGCCTGTTTTCCATTCCATGTTCCATCGTTGCGCATTTGGTATTTATAATTAAGTATTTATGTATGTATGAGTAGTAGTTTATGTGTATTTAAAAAAAAAAAAAATCAAAACTCCCTTATGATCGTGATTTTTTCTTAGGTGGTTTCAATTATGTACTCTTTTTAAAAAGGAAGAATGGTTCGTTACTTTAGTACTCATTTAGTGTTTTATTTATCTTTAGCAAATTTTCTAATGTTTCTATTTATGTATGATTATTTCTTTGTGTTGTATAATCGTTCATGAGGGATAATAACATACATACATACATACATACATACATATGTGCCAGAGCTGTAAAACTGTGAAATCATTTGAAATTAAAAATCATCAATTTTATATTGTTATGTTTTCATTGAATTCTCCCTTATTGAATAATGCGGCTTAAAGTTTTCCAATTCTACATTCACTCAAAGTAGATACGATTGCACACATTTCCATATTCAAAGAAAGATTGAAAAAATTGAATGACGAACGATTCACTTTTAACACTGAATAAGCACTCAGATGAATGCAGCTTTTGCTATGTGTGCACACATCCACTCAGTACCAATCAACTGATATAAATATTTTGAACACACAAAACCCACTGAAAAATACGCCAGGTTGCATTTTATTAAAAAGACTGCAAAAATTCAACACGCAAAATAGGTAATAGAGCGTTATCATCAGTTTTTTTCACTTAAATTTGTACAAGGATTTATAAGAATAAAAATTATTAATTGGAGAAATATTTTTTAGTGAACGTGTCGTTAGAATGTCATTATGAAAAATATAAATTATTAATGATTTTAACATCTCTGTTTAGAAAATTGTCAGCTTTCCAAAAAAGTGTTACCAATATACCATTAATAATGCATAATGCATAAATTAGTACATACATATATAAGTCAATATAAACTAACAAATTTAAGAGCTTCTGGTTCTAACTTTAGACATACATATACATTTCATTATTTAATTATAAACATTTTTGATACAAATTTCTTCGTACTTTTTTTCGTCGCTATTGGGTCAAGCAGTTAATGAAGATTCGAAAACCGAATTTGTTGGTTTGTGGAGGTTTTTTCATTTACAATAAGCCACAAATTATCAACATTTCCAACAAAAAAATATTTAACAAAATTCGTTGGTCTCTATTTTCATTAACATCCTTTTCCGTAAGTGCAATATTTATGAATTTATACCCATTTCATTGAGCACGCTTTGTTTTTTTGGTTTGTTTGTTAACATCAAAACTACATATCGACACCTAAGTGGAAGATCGACCTATCTCGGCAGCCAGTTCGAAAACTCCCTATCTCACCCTATTTCAGAGTTTTGTTGAAGAACGCCCTATCTCAGAATGCGGTTCAAAAACGCCCTATCTCGGCAAATTTTCAATATATTTTCATTTGAGATAGGGCGTTCTTCAACCAAATTCTGAAGTAGGACTTTCATAAAAAGCTTTCTGAGTTAGGGCGTTTTTGAATTGGCTGCCGAGATAGGTCGATCTTCCAATCAGGTGTCGGTATATTAATAAAACATGATTAAACATTGTCTGCTGTAACCTATTTTAGAAATAATTTATTTATTAGGATTTGCAATTTGAAAAAATCAGTTCCTTCCAATTTTGGGAATCAAACGGGACCCCACACAAGCAAAAATCGTTTTCTACAATCTTTATTAACCTGAAGGGCTAGACAACAAACAACCGCTATGCGAACAAAGTTATAATACCCATGTGCACAAATGCACTCGGGTGTAATTATTTCTTAAAACATTATTCTAAATGTATGTTTTGAGCAAATTGATTTCAAAAGTTAGAAATATGTCCCATTTTTCAAAAATGTATAATAATAAACATGTGAGTTTCTTAGCAATTTGTTTTCTGTAATTAAGGAAATATTGAATTTTTTGAATTTTTCGAAATTACCGTTTTATGGGAGGGACCAGGTTATTGTTTAATTTTTGAATTTTCAATACGCTTCTGCCCTGCATAAAGGGAAACCCGCGTACCGAATTTTCTTCCGATATCTCAACTTTTCCTAGAGTTATCGTGTACACAAACAAACGGACAGACAGACAGACGGATATGGACTAATCAACTTCTCTTTTTATTCTGGGCATTTACGGTATATACATACATATGTACATAAATGTAGTATATATCTATCTCGATTTTGGTTGTTCCAAATATCCGTTACGTGAGAAAAGTTATAGTATAGTATTGCGGAAGTGCGTAGTAAATATGTTTAAATAGTACACCTTTTAATTAATAATTAATAAAAAAAATTTTACAATGTAACTCCTCAACCCCTCTATAAAGAAAACAAGAACCCTTATAAAATTTCGTTTTGAAAGTTTTCAAATTTGAAAACTGAAGAAAAAAAATTAATAGAAAAAAAATCATATAAATTAAATTTATATATACATATATTCTGGGAAAAAATGTCTACAATCAATTTTTAAACCCTTTTCGCAATTGTAACCGGTAAATTTTGTTACCATCTCATAAGCTGGTAACAAAATATTGCCCCGCCCCGTGAAATATGCAATGCCAGAATTTCCACAATTCTTCATGGCTGAATTGCTGAATATATAGCATTACCAACGTTCCTAGAATCGCGGTGACATGAACAGGTAACATTTTTTGGTAATATAATTTTCCGGTTACAAAATCTTCGGTTACGTGCAGAATAGACCTTTTATAGTTCTAAAAGTCTATAATACGAAGGGACATATGCCGGTAATGAAATTCTTAAGTTTTTTCAAGCAAGAGTTTTAAAAACTCCATTCTATTGACACCGTTTTATATTTCTATATACAGTTCACTAGTTTCGAATCTAATATATGTAAATGTATGTATCAAGATGTGTCCTTTGTGCTCGACGGTTGCGATGTTTGTTTGGACTGATTTCGCACCAGTCATTAGCCATGGGTTAATGTCAGAAAACGTCTATACATACGCGTTGAAATACATACATACGTATACATATATGTTTTTTTTCAATTCCAGATATGTTTAAACTTTAAAGTATAAAATATATCAACCCTGGGAAAAAAGTATTAGTACTAAATGGTAAAAACGTGTGCATTCATTTTAATTATACAATCATGTGTGTGTGCGAATGCTTCTGTTACATTCACATTCCATACTGAATGTCAATCTACCATTCAAAAACACAACACAGTTTATTTGTTTTCAAGCATTTTAAGCCACTCAGGAATGAGGCTTTTTTTATACAAACAAACAATCAAAATTTTGAAAAGAATGTCGAGTGAATGCAGATCCTATTGATTCAATCATTTTACAGCTCTGATATGTGCATAGGTACTACACAGTGTTGGACAAAACATATGTTCATACAAATAAAAGTTATTTTGAAATTAATTTACCCATTTTTCTTGAGAATTGAAGTCAGCGGTTCATGTTCCAGCACCCGCGCCACAAAACATATTGGACTGATCTTAATTTACTCCATTATAAATAGTATATATTTGTTTACTTATTTACATATACAGAATTATTCCAATTTTTCATAAAAATGTTTGGAAGGCAAAGAACCACAAGAGGAGTTCTAAAAATTCCTTGCCGAAATTGAAAGTACGTTAATCTTTTATAGTACAAAAAAAATTTCAGACTTAAATATAGAGAAAGAGATAAGCAAAAAATAATATATGTACAATGTACATACAATTAAACAAAGACCAAATAAAATAAGCAATATTTATACATACATCCGCCAACTTAAGAATGAACGCAAGGCCAAAGAAACAAACTATTATAATAAAAATTGTGCACAAGTGCGCTCGGGTATATAAATATAAAAATACAAATGCGTAAAAATGAATCTGGAAACTTTCCTATTCGGCCTATTCTCGATAATTAGTTGTTTACACTTTTATATGGAAGTGCGTCGCATTACATTTGCAAGCTATTTCTAAGTAACGTTAAATTGTGGAAAAGGGACTTTTGTGGTTTGAGTGTTTTCATTGTCATGCTAAGCGTGATTTTTTTATCCCTGCGATGCTAAGGTACTATGGTAAATGTGAAACTTAGTTATGCTAAAAATGATTTTTTTAATAAGTAAATTTAATAATTCCTGGTTAAT